CACCTTCACCTGCCAGCGGGATGCTGGGCCCACGTGCCACACACAGTAACCGGAGCTTAAGCAAAACACCCACGGAGCTCGAGCTCTGCAGATAGGCGTGCACACGCACGGATGGATGCGGGCAAGCAGAGCTGGGAAATGGCAGGGGCAGGCTGCGGGTTCCTAGAGACACCACAGGGGCACGTGCTCGGGCGGGAGGCGGCGGTGGCCAAGGACACCGCACACACGCCACCGCCAGCCTTCGTATCTGGTCTCCAACCAGAGCTCCGGTTTGGCATCAGTTTGGGGGCAGGCCCTGAATGTCAGGAGATGTCCCCCACCCTGTCCCTGCCAGGCAGGAGCCTCTTGGGGAGGCCAGACCTGTGTAGGTACCAGGGCTTCTGGCACAGCTCCCCGGGAGGACGGGCAGGCCCGGACGTGCCGCCCAAGGGAGCAGGCGTGTGGGGGGTGGTTCGTACACAGTCCCATCCGGGCTCGGCAAGGCAGGAGAGTTGAAAGGCCCCTGGTAGCTCCCCAGGCCCTTATGCCCGGGCAAGAAAACCCCAGCCTGAAACGCCTGGGTTTCTGAAGGGCGGGAAGGCGGGAGTTTTTTGAGGCCTGCTCCACTCAGGCTGTCTCCCAGACTCTGTCATTCCTCTGAGGCCAGAGGGGCTGCCAAGCATGTCGGGCACCGAATCATAGACTTCCAGAAACTCAGCTAGGCTGGTGCCCTCGTTTCCCACTGAATATGGGAAGAATTTGCTGAAGACATTGTTCCTTTGCTCAGAGACCAGCAAACACTGAAATCAACCCACTGAGGTGAGAAGAGCAGCTGGAAAATGGGGTCCCGAGAACACTGATGGTGTTCCTGGATGTGCCAGACACTGTTTCAAGCACTTTCTGAATATTAGCCAGGTCAGTTCCCACCATAACACCGGAAGGTAGGACCTGTCATTGTGTCTCCATGCTTTAGAGGTGAGGAAGTAACTTGCCCAGGTCGACACGGCTAGTGTGTGGCATGACTGGGATATGAACCCAAGCAGCTTTACCAGCATTTAGATCCTTTTTGGTCTTTTGGGAATCGAGCAGAACTGTGAGACACCCAATTAGGAATACGTTGGAAAGGGTTGCAAACTTAAGTGCCTACAGGGCCAGGTAGGTGAAATAAACGTGTGACTCAGGCCTGGTGGGGAGAGGCCTGTGGTCCCAACTGGAGAATGTGTAGGCAACCCAGGTGTCCTTATACAAATTCCTTAAAATAAAACTTGCCTGGAGGCCATATGCCACCACACCCCCAATCCCCCCCAAAATACCCCCATCTTAGAGCAGCTCTAACATAAGCCTACTGCACCTCAACATGCACCAGGAAATGTGGCCTAACAGGGCATACCAGCTTGTCTTGGGGGGTTTGAAAGGACACAGAAGCAGCAAAGGACAGAGATGCATCGGTGAGTGGAAGTGACAGAGGACAGGAAGAACAGCCCATTTAGAAACAGCAAAGATGACGTGAGTTGCCTGTCCCTGGAGAGAGGAGGCTCTTGATAGCCTAAAGAACTCCACCACTTATGAACCCAAGGAGGTCCAAGGAGGCCACTTCTGCTCCAGGACTCATCTAACAAGACAGAGTCCTCCGTTTTAGGATTTTAGCCCCAGCCTGGTCACAGATTCACTTGGTTACTTCAAGTTCCTTGCTATAAGCCCTTGGTCTGCTTTTTTGACTTGTTACAAGTAAAGTGGTATCATATTAGAGGTTGAACGTACAAATTTGCTGATTTTCAATTGGTTTTGACCTACAAAAACATCAGTTTCATATGATTCAACCCTATAATTGTCCTGTCTACCTTGCAAGGTGCAGAGGATAAATGAAAATGTTTGAAGCATGAGCCAAAGATTCACTGCCGCGTACACAGCAGGCACCCAGTGAATGCTTGGTGAATGTAAATACTGGTTCCAGAACCAGGTGGGCATGAGCCTTCCTTATCGCTTCTAGCAAAGCCAACTGCCTGGGGACAGGGTCAGGCAAAGCAGTTCTTTGAGGGAAATTCACATTCACCCAGCTCCTCCCGCATCTTGGCTCCAGTGAGGCCCTTCCCCGCCCCTCCCCCCCCCCGCCCCCGGCCAGAATGCAGAAGTCATGTCCAGTTTTCAGCTTGGACACAGAGACGACTGGCCAAAGCCACCATACAGGAAGGGAAGAAGCCTCAATCGCTTAGATGTGGCACAGACCAAGGTCCCGGGGCATCCGGGTTTTGTGGACTGAACAATCCCTTCTAGGGTAACCAGAGCTTAACGGATGCTCCGCAGGTAGAAGGCGCTGTCCCTCCTCGTTTACCATGCCGCACTATCCCTCCACTTCTCGGAAGACTGTGGCACAAAGGAGGGGGTCACAGCGGCAGCGGCCAACGAGCCCTTTCCTCCTTTGGGGCGAAAGGCGGCCCCAGGTCTGCGCCGCAATAAAGGCAACTGGCCGGGGGAGGGAGGGGACCGAACAAAGAATTGGGACGCGTGGTCCTCGGGGACACCACTGTTGAGTCCCTTGGATTGGCGCGCGCCCACCCTGGGGAAAATCCCCTTACGGCCCTTGGGGTACCTGGGGGTAGGACTGAGACCGGCGGGCGCCCCCTCCGCTGCCGCGTACCCGGGACGGGATGGCGACCGCCAAACAACAGGAGGTGGCGCGGCTCTCCCTCCCTGTCCAACACCTGTCCTACGTTTTTCCCGACCAAAGGACAGGGAGCCTGGGCTTCTCTCTTCCCAGGGGACAAGTCGCTCGGGAAAGCCCCAATGGCCAGACTGACAGATGTGAACCAGGATGCGGGCCTGACGCGTGCGGGACAGGGGCATGGGGAGGGGGCCCAGACCCAGGTGGCGCCCCGGCGCTCCGCGGCTCCCCCAGGCCGGGCAGGGGAGTCCGGGGCCAGAGGAGACAGCCGGGCCAGTGCGTGGCAAGCTCAGCAAAGGGAGTCCCGCGGTGGGAATGGGGTCAGCGAGCCCCTGACCTAAGAGAACCAAGAAGGGCGACTCAATCTCTCCTCCCGTTCCTCACTTGAAGCTCTACTGGACTTGGCATCCGTCCCTCCTCCACGACTTCAGACTCCGGGTTTTCTCCATTCCCAGATCCGCGGCCCCAAGAGACAGACAGCGGAACCTGCCAATGGCAGGACGCAAAGCGTCAACTTTGTGTTCGCCCGCCACTCTCAGCCAGTGCGCGCCCGTTTCTCCGGAGTCCCGCCTTCCGTGTCGGGCGCCCCCTTCTGGCGACACAGGGATGAACCCTATCTGTCGCCATGTTGAGTGCGGCACAGTTTTTTTTTTTTTTTTCTGGAACATTTTCCCACCTGTTCTAATCTTTCTTCCCACACAGCTGCTTTCTTAGTTCGACAGCCAAGTGCGGTGGCGATAAGGACGGTGTAACCTGTGCTTTTCGGATCGTCTGCGTGATCGGATCGCCACGTCACGCCACGCTTGCCGAGTCCAACGCCATCTTGAGTGTGGCGCCTTGATGGTTCCCTTCTCAGGGCTCCGCGTGGTTCCCTAAATGGCGCCCCAAACTTCAAGGAGTCCGCAAGGACTAGACCACCTGGTCTAAGGGGGCGATTATTTCCCCCCCAGGAAACTCTCAGTGTATAAGTTCGTGTGCCCCTCGCAGCCCCTGGAGTGGGGTGAGAGGATAGACCCGATGGCCGGGTTCTGGAAGGGTGCTCCCTGAGGCTGTCGCGACGACAGTGACCGCTCGGGGCAGGCGCTGTCCAAAGCGCTGGAGTGCGCAGACTGCTGTGTGGTGCGACGCCCGTGGGCTGTCCCGTTCGAAGGCAGGAGCCCGCACCGGCTCACGAGTCCCCTCGAAGCATGAATCTCAGAGTGTGTGTGTGCTTGGCACCGAGCCCGCTTGTCGGCTGGCTCAGGCGGCCAACGCCGGGGCCAGTGGTGGGCAACAGGGTCACCTCTTCAAAGACCCGGGGCACCTGGGGTTGGGCAGAGGGTGTGGACGAGGTAGAGACGGGGCGGCCTCGCGCCCTCATTGCTCGTCGCAGGGTTTCCACCCACTTGCACTGGGACAATTCTCGGTGGAAGGTGCCCCGGCGCGGGGGGCGGGCACCTCCCCGGGCACTGCACAGGGCACCGCCCCGGGCGAGCGCAGCCCAGCACCCGGCCTTCCCCTCCCCCTCGCTGGCAGCCGTCGTGCGCGCCGGCCACCGCCTCCTCTTCCCTCCCCCTCCTTCCGAGCAGCAGAGGGGAGGGGAGGACGGGGGGCTGGGCGGGCGGCTTTGCCGCGCTTTGGCTTTCTGCGTCAGCAGCCCCAGCAAAACAGCGGCGGGAGCGCGCGCCCTGAGCGCGCTCGTGCGCCCCTCCCCCGCGGCGCCGGCGCCGCCGAGACCCGGCAAACTAAGGCCCTGAATGACAGAGCGGCCGGCGACTGCGCAGCGCGGGACGCACCAAGGCACTGCCGCTTTAAGCACGCTTGCCCATTGTTCGGAATCGAGCCAATGAGCGAGCGCCCGCTCCCTGCGCTCAGCCAATAGCATTCGGGCAGAGGAGGCCGAGCGCCGCCCACTAATCTATATTAAAGGTTCTGGCGCCGCGTGAGTTCCCCACTGGCTGCTCTGAAAAGCCATCTTTGCATTGTTCCCGTGTCCGGCTCCCCGTTCGCCGCAACCACCTCCGCCGCGCGCCTCCTCCGCCACCGCGGACTCCGGCAGCTTTCTCGCCAGAGTCCCCGAACTCTTGCTTTCTTTTTAATCCGCTGCATCGGATCACCGGCGTGCCCCATCATGTCAGACGCGGCCGTGGACACCAGCTCCGAGATCACCACCAAGGTGAGGTTGGACGCCGCCCGCCCCTTCGGGGTCCGCGCGCTGCTGCCGCCGGAGCGGTGTTTGGCGCGCGCGCGCGGCGGCTGGGCTGCCCCGAACCCGCTGTCTCTTCCTCCGGCGGAGAGACCTCTCCTCCCGGCCTAGGCCCCCAGGCAGCCCACTCTTTTGTGTGCGGGGGAGGGGGCGGGAAGCGCGGCGGCAGGCGTGATGCCCGTCGGGGAGTGGGCCGGGCGCCCTCGGGGCCCCGGAGGGCGGACGCGGGGGCTGAGGGGCTCGGGTGGCGGGTGTTCTACGGCTCCTGAAACTTGTTTGTGAGTGGTCTGGAAGGTGGCGGGAGGAGAGGGGCCGGGCTGGGGGTCGTCAGCCCGCGGGGCGCACGGAAATAACTTTGAAACTCGAGCGCGTTTGGAATCGGAAGTGCTGGGGGGGGCGCGTGTGCAGGCGCGGGCCGGCTGCGGGAAGTGGCGGCTCCGCAACGAGCGCCCGCCGGCGGCGCTGGTCTTTGTTCCGAGCCGGGCCGCCTCGTTTCGCGCCTTACAGTGGGTTCGAGGTGGTTTATCTGGACTAAGCTCTGATAAGGCGGAGTCGGGCAGCGGGTCGGCCGACCGCGACGTCGATTGTCTCCGCGGAGGTGTGAAGGTCTTCTCCGCTCTGGGTGCCCTCAGGGAGGGCGGGGGTAGGCGTCCTCCGGGGAGAGTGCGCCGGGAGCAGCCGCCCAGCCTCAATAATTCACCAGCGGTGCCGGGTTTGGCTGTGGAGGAGGCGAGCCCACGCGCCGTTGGGGAGGAAACGGAAAGTGAAGGAACGGCGCGCCGGGGCGACGATGGGCGCCCCCCGCGGCTGCCCGGGAACACCGTGTGCGCGGCCGCCCCGGAGGCGATGCGGACGAACAAAAGCTGTGGCCGCGGCTGGCCGGTTGCGGGGTCGAGCCGGGTGCCGGGGGTTGTCGGGGCCTGGTGTTGTGGGTTCACTGCCCTCGGTTTTGAGGTCCTGCGCGTTTGGCGCAGCTCCGGTTCTGCGCGCCGGGTCGTTCCAGCGGCCCGCGCGGGGACCGTCTCGTCTCCGCTCTCGGCGGGAGCGCGGCACTTTAGGGCAGATCGGCTGTTTTATCTAAGGCTCTGGTCCGCGCCCCTCTCGTGCCCCTTTGGGGACGGGCAGGAGTCACCTTGGCGTCTCCTTAACCTCTGTGCCCCTAGCGTCACCTCTGGCTTTCTCCCAGGGGTGACTCCCCCGGCGGAGTGGAGCTTGCGACTGGGCTCTCCACAAGGGCTCCAGCGGGCCCCCCTCCGGGCCCAGCCCGGGAACTAGTTGGGTGGGGGGAGGGTCGGCCCTCCCCACTGCGGACGTCCGCGTTCGCCTTCCTCCAAGGTGATTTCCCGCCGGGAGCAATAAATAGTTCCACGGAGCGCGTCCCCTACGGCCTCGGGCTGCGGGACTGAGAAAGCCCCGTGGACTTCGGGGCGGCCTCCCGCGGGACTTTGCCCGCCAAATGCAGAGCGGCAGGCCCGCGCGTCAAGGCCTGCGGTGGGGGCGTCAGGACGCCCGGAAAGACCGGCGCGCAACTAGCGCGGCGGCGGGGGATGCGCTGGCCAGCGCAGCCCCCGGGTCTCCAGGGTCAGGGGCGCACTCGGCGGCCCTGGGCCACGTGCTCCGCGCGCGCGGTGCGTGCCGAGGCCCGCGCGCAAAGCCCGCCGGGCGGGGGCTGCGCGCCTGCGCGCCGCGTTCTCCCCGCCCCCACCCGCTCCCCGGGGCTTCGGCCGCCAGGGGGCGGGAGCGGGCGGCACCCGGGTTCGCGGCCCGCCAGGCGGTGGTAATGGGGCCGACAGGTGCCCCGGTGCCGGTCACTGGACGGGGTCCGAGCTGCGCCCGGCCCGACGCCTGTTTGTGTTGGCGGCCGGATCGGCAGGGCCAGGTGGAAGAAGTTACCGGGCTTCGGGGCGCCCGCGGCGGCGTTGCCCTTTGGAAAGCGGACCGGGTCCGCTCCTCGAGGTGCGGTCTGACGGGCCCTGAGAGCCGCCGCGCGGACGGCGAGAGGCCGGGAGGGAGATGGGGCGCACCGGGCGGCGCGCTTCTGAACGGGGGTCGAGTTCCTTAGGCCCGGGCACGTTTCCCGGCGATGACCTGCGACCTCCTGGGACAGCTGTCACATACAGGGAATTGGTGGGTTTGGGTTTTTTAATAGCGAGCTGGGCTGCCGTGGGCTTGGTGCTTAGCTCGGCTGGGAGGACTTGAGACGGCCCCCTCCAGTTCTGCTTGTCGGCTCCCTCCCATTCCCTCCTCGGCCTAGCCCGCCCACGGGAGTTCTCCCGCAGTGCCCGGGCCCTCCCTCCATTACCTTGTTTATTTATGGCACATACCTGCTGTTTTCCAAGAAGGGCTTGTGAGAGGCGGAGTTTCCTCTGGTTGGAAACCAGTCTGTGATGGGTGTGTGAGTGAAGTGTTCCCGGGCTCGTCTGCCCGGCCAGACGGGTTTAAGGCCGTGGTGCCACATGGCTCTTGTCCTAAGAATCATGAGGAAGGGGCAGTGGGAACAACTGCAGGGGGCTCTTTTTGGTGTGTTTCTTAAGGGTTGAGAAATTGGAGGAAACCCTGACCACAGACGCGCTGGGTATCCTGTGGCCCCTCCTTCCTGTGTTTCCAAGTGTAACGTGGGGCTGTTGGGACATCCAGACCAGCGCTGCTTTCATACCCTTGAGCCCTAGGCCTCTTTGCCAGCCCCGGGTTTCTCAAAAGACTTACTGGTTCCCTCTTACTTTTTGAAGGACTTAAAGGAGAAGAAGGAAGTTGTGGAGGAGGCAGAGAATGGAAGAGACGCGCCTGCTAATGGGAACGCTGTGAGTGTCCGCCTTGCCCATGGTGCCTAGCCACTCCTGGCCAGGAAGTTCTCTCACTCCAGCTTGGGCTTAGTTTGGGGTGAGCGAGGAGGCTGAGCCCTTGGGTGGTTCCTGCATCACCGTCTCCTGGTGGAGCTTTAAGGGAAGAGGAGCTGAGGTCTCTTGCCTGGTCTGGGGCTGCAGATGCATTGGGGGGGCCTGGGGGAAGGGATGGGGCAGGAGTGGTGGTCTGTCGTCATTAACAACCTGGTATGTTTTCTGTCGAGGAGAATGAGGAAAATGGGGAGCAGGAGGCTGACAATGAGGTAGATGAAGAAGAGGAAGAAGGGGGAGAAGAAGAGGAGGAGGAGGAGGAAGGCGATGGTGAGTAGCTTCGTTTATCTCTCCTTTTAGGGGGTTCCTTTCCTTGGCCTTGTCTAGAGGTTCCTGGGGTTGGAGACCAGCGGACCACCTGCAGCTGGGTTGGTACTGTGGGGCTACGACTTCTCTGGGTTTAGGCTCGTGAAGTGAAACTGCCCCACACACCCGTACTCCCACCGGTGCCTTCTTGCCTCGTTTGGGGACCAGTGCCTGCATGGGTGGCAAGCGGCCCTGACTGCCCGGTTTGTCAGGCAGCAGAGATCAGGGACAGTTCTTCCCTGGAGAACCTGTCACTGGGAGGTCCCCTGAGGAGCTGCAGTGTGAAGTCGTGTCCCCACCCAAGTTCAGGCTGTCACTGGGTGGGTAGGGTACCAAGATTCTTCCTGGCAGGTTGAGGGGAGGCAGTGTGGTTTACCCTGGGTTTGATTCTGCAGGTGAGGAAGAGGATGGAGATGAAGATGAGGAGGCCGAGGCAGCTACGGGCAAACGGGCAGCTGAAGATGATGAGGTGGGTTCTGGCTTGGGTGGGGGCTGGGATGTGAGGCACGGTAGTCAGGGGGGCCGATTTCTGTGGTGTGGTCCTGAAAGGCTCCCTTATCTTGAGCAGGAACAGGAAAGAGCGCAGGCCTGCCTTCCCAGAGCTCTGGAAGCCTCTGGAGCAGCCAGTGCCTGGCCCTTGCCTCTGCCTGCAGGAGTGGGGGTGGGCCCCGTGGGCTGCAGGGGCCTTGACCATCTTTCTCTGCGCAGGATGATGATGTCGACACCAAGAAGCAGAAGACTGATGAGGATGACTAGACAGCAAAAAAGGAAAAGTTAAACTTAACAAAAAAAAAAAGGCCGCCGTGACCTGTTCACCCTCCACTTCCCGTCTCAGAATCTAAACGTGGTCACCTTCGAGTAGAGAGTCCCGCCCGCCTGCCCAACGCGGGCAGTGCCACCCGCAGATGACACACGCTCTCCGCCACCCAGCCAAAACCACAACGTGAATTTGCAACAGGGGAGGAAAAAAGAACCAAAACTTCCAAGGCCCTGCTTTTTTTCTTAAAAGTACTTTAAAAAGGAAAATTTGTTTGTATTTTTTATTTACATTTTATATTTTTGTACATATTGTTAGGGGTCAGCCATTTTTAATGATCTCGGATGACCAAACCAGCCTTTGGAGCGTTCTCTGTCCTACTTCTGACTTTACTTGTGGTGTGACCATGTTCATTATAATCTCAAAGGAGAAAAAAAACCTTGTAAAAAAAGCAAAAACAACAACAAAAAAACAATCTTATTCCGAGCATTCCAGTAACTTTTTTTGTGTATGTACTTAGCTGTACTATAAGTAGTGGGTTTGTATGAGATGGTTAAAAAGGCCAAAGATAAAAGGTTTCTTTTTTTCCTTTTTTGTCTATGAAGTTGCTGTTTATTTTTTTTGGCCTGTTTGATGTATGTGTGAAACAATGTTGTCCAACAATAAACCGGAATTTTATTTTGCTGAGTTGTTCTAACAAAGCTGTCTCAAGCCTGGTTTTTCTGTGTTTCAGTTTTCTAGACCTTCTGGGGAGCGGGCAAGGACGGGGGTGGGTGGTTGGGGGGATCTTGGGCTCAGGCCCAGCTGTATTTCTTGGGGATAGTGGGCTGAAGACCCCAGTGGGCAAGGAGGGGTGGGTATGTCCTTGGGGCAGCGTGGTGGGTCACCATGGAGATCAAGGACTGAGCTGCTGCTGGCCACCAAGCCCTGTGGGAGGGCACTGGAGTTAGGGGCTGTGAAGGGGAGGCTGCTTACCGGGGCCGGTCTACTGATTCTACCAAGAGCCTTTTCCCAGGACCACATTATTGGATGCCAGTGGATCAGGGTGCCTTGGAAGGCAATGTCCACATCCTCAGGCACACGAAGGAACCGGCTACACGAGGCGCTGCTGTTACCCAGACTCCAGGGTTGGGGTGGGTGGGTGGTGGTACGGGCCAAGGGTGAACGCAGGGCCAAGACCTCAGATAAGCCACTTCCCAGTGGGACAGCCCCTAACTTTGGCCTTTCCGCTTGGGTCCTCACCCAGTTAGTTTGGTGACCGTGGCTCCCCCTGGTGGTGGCATGTGGCACCTTGTCCCTTTGGACTTCTTTTCAGGGCACTCACGCAGCCTTGCCCTAATTCTCCAAGCTCTTGCCTGGAGAAAGAAGTGGACCTTGATTAGGCAGGCAGGCGAGCCTTCCCCTTGAGCATGGTAAAGATGGTAGGTGGGCACTTAGGAGTTTCAGACGCCGGTTGTGAGCAGTCAGGAAAACTCAGTGAAGCTCAAGCCCTGGGGGAAGGGAGCTATTAGAACTGATTAAGCCTCCTGGGGCTTGTTCGCTCTCCTGGGGCCTGCAGCTGAGCTTCACAAGCAGAAGCCTCCTGCAAGCATCCAGTGTGCCCCTGAATCATGGTGGTGCCCAGTCTCTAGGGGGTCAGCGAGGATTGACCCCTAGCTGTTAGGGGTGCTAAGAATGGGCTACTGTCTGCAGGGCTCACTTTGTGGGGCAATCGATTCACTGAGTAAAAGTATGGGTTCTGCTTCGGCTTCTACCAACTGGGCCATCCTGGGCCTCCTGTCCCTCCTGAATGTGGTCTTTTTTTGTCTTGTTTTTAGGATTTACTTATTTTGGGGAGGGAGGGGCAGGAGAGGGAGAGAATCTCTAGCAGACCCCCTGCTGAGCACAGAGCCCGAAGGGGGCGCAGTCCTACAATCCTGAGATGGAGACAACAAGAGTCAGACGCTCAAGTGCCCGAACCACCCAGGCGCCCCCTGAATGCAGTCTTAAAGATGCCTTTCTCGAGAGTTCAAGTGAGACACTCAGGGCCGCAAGGGAAAGGGCGGCCAGAATTGGGGTGGGGCACAATCCTTAGGAGGGACACCTCTCAAGCTAGAGTGCCCAAGTCTACCCCACAGACAGGAATGGCTGTGGGCAGAGGACGAAGTGGGGACAGAGAAGCCATGCACACTCCCTCCCCACTCCTGTCCCCCAACACTCCGGCCACGTGGGAGTCACTGCCTCACATTTGAACTGACTTACACTCTGCTTTATTCAGAGGAAGAAGCCTGGGACCCCAGCTTCTGCTGATATCCACCCCCCATCACCCTCCTATCTTCCTCTGCCCTCCCTCCCCCTCAGGCCCCCACTGACTTCGTTAGAGAGTCCTAGACACCTACGGGCAGCAAGGGGTGGGAGGATGGGGCTATTACCTAAGGTGTCCATCCACAACTCCTTAAGGACCATCTATGGATAACGGGACCCT